TCTTTAATTTATGAATCTTGGCAAATTAAATATAAATATTGTCGATCGTTGATTATGTGCAAGAAAACAAGATAAACATAATGCTCGTGTAGACAACAGTCGTGCAACTAACACCGCAACACCGCTGAAATTGATATTTTTCCACTTGCTATGCAAAGTCAGACTGATTTCCTAGAAGACCATTTTACGTTCGCTGGCACGTTGTTTATGACATTTTAAGTATCTAAGCGCATATATCCATTTCCTCTTAGATATTCGCACATATATCAAAATCTGTTCCAAAGTGCTGTCAAACGACGATGTAACGGCAAACTTTCAAAAAGTAAATAACGAACGAGTTAAATTGGCCAATAAAACAGATAGATAGAAGGAGAAGGTGTCGGGGAGGGAGCGGCGCGGGCTTGTCGATCAGTGTCGAGTGCAAAACAAATAAAAAAAAAAACAAATAAAAAAAAAAACAAAAAAAAAACAAAAACAAAAAACAAAAAAAAATCACTCGTTGCAAATGCGCACTTGTTGCAATCGATGAAATAAGTTTTTGGATATTTTAAAGCAGTCCGCTCCTCTATAGAATTATGAAAATAGAAAGCGCGATCTATCTATACCGCATAACACATAAATTATTTGAAAAAAAAAACAAACAATTTTTCTCTTCTTAAATGTCCCGAGCTTACCAACTGCTTAATTCCTGTTCGCGCTTTCAATTATTTAAGAAAGCTACATTTGAAAGATGATTAATGAGATTGTAGTGGATACGTGACAAAATAAGATGTCGTGCAGTTTCTTTAATTCTGGCATTAACTCTTGATATTGCCGTATCTTCTAGTATTCTTCGTGGTAAAATAGAAAGATTTATTATAAACTATTATCGCTCATCGCGGTGGTATATAATCGAACGATAAGTCGTTTTCTAATAATATGAGACAATTTACAAAACGAAGAATTTTTTTAAATCATTTAGCTATATATGTAATTCAAGCCTGGAAAAATAAGAAATAGTTGTTGATTAAAAAATATATATTATAAAAAAGCACTTCTATCAATATCCGTTATGTTACTTATGATAAAAATTAATGCAATATTTTATGAATCAAAGATATAGCATTTTTATTTGTTCCATATTTGCTTTTTTTTTTACATATTTACTTATGTAAATTTGGTTATGGTTTCAGTAAAATTTCATTCACAATATATCTATACGCTAGTTTTTTCATTTGTTCATCTATTATCTTAATTAACGATTTATAACGTAAAAACATAACGTATTTCAAATAACAATATACATCAAAAGATTTATTTTTTCTCGACAAATGTCTTACTTATATCGGAAAGTTTTATTCGGATTAGTTAATTCTAAAAAAAAAATCTGCATGCGCCAAAGAATAACATTATTTTAAATACATTTGTTTAAAAGATAAGGCTATATATACTTTACCCGAATTATTCAATAAATTTAATCGCTTATAAAATTACTAATTTTTCCTTATTCTTAATACTATGAAGAAACTTGAAAATTCTGTTTTAAGAAGAACCCAATGTAAATTACGATGTGTTAACAAAAATAATGATATCTGATAATAAAAAAAAAAAAAAAAAAAAAAAAAAAAAAAAAAAAAAAAAAAAAAAAGTTGTCGATAGACTATTTGTATTTACAGTTATTATCATCTACTTATGTTATATTAATATATAATTAATATATAATTATAATAAAGGAAAACAATTTCATTCGATCTATTTACAGATAATAACTGTTGATAAATTAGCTATTGAATTAATCAGGTAATAAAATTAAATAACTGAAAACAATATTGTAAAATGATGTTTTACCGAATATATTTTTTTTTTGTTTTTTTTTTGTTTTTGTTTTTAATTTGTAATATCAATAAGTAAGCGGTAATTTTAAAATAATTTCTAACGATGATTACAATAATTCGAATGCACTTTTCGAATTGTAAATTTGTTCTTATAAAATTGGAATGTACATGTGATACTTATTATTTACATTTGATTTTATTCTTGTGCAATAATTTAATTTAAAGAAAAAATGTGATAGCAATTATATTATATAGCACTGTTATAGTATTGGAAGAGCATTGAAATATAATATAAAAATAAATTAATAATTACAATCTTAAATATCTAACCAAATCTATATTTCCATCTATTATACAGGAAAAGTAAACAATGATTTTCAAAAAATAATTCTACTAAAATGTATTTTGTCAATATGTTTAGTATATTCAAATTTAAAACATCGGTCTTATTTCAAACAAATATTACTAATATTGTAAAATTAAAAGAAAAATGCGAATAGTAGTTAATAGGCAAAATTTTATTTATCAGGAAACGTACGGAGACATGATTTATTTATTATTTAATTTACGAATATTTATACAAGCTGAATTTATTAAGGTGTATTGGCGAAAACAAATAAGCGCGAATCCGAGAATAAGTAGATGAGTTATCGATAATTATTTATATATAGTTCACAACCGCCATACAAAATAGTTAATACGAATAATGTGAACTCACATTCACATAAAAGACATGAAACAGTGCTTACTAATAGAAAGAATAGTAACTTCCATTAATGTAAAATTAATTTTGTTTATATATACAGAATAAATATTAATATTAAAAAAAAAATGTTACTTTTTGTAAATGAAATATTCAATGGTTTTTAAAAAATGTAAACCATCAACTATAAAATCAAGCAGAATTGAAACTTGAGTTTACCCAGTAAATTTTGTATTCTTGTCAATAATTAATTATATTTATTTCATAAAATAAAGTAAAAATATATATTACGTATATTACAAAAAATACTAATTGCATATTATAGATATTGGTATTTTATATTTAACATTATTATTATAACATATTCATAATTTTCTTTAATATTAAAAAATTACGAATATATTACGATTATATTCTTTAAATTTGCCTACAAGTTATTTGCAGTTAAATAAAATGATTTCTTCTTTTAAATCACAAAAAAGAAGAAAGAAAAATAAGAAAAATTGGTCATTTAAATTGCAAATTATTATATTACTTTGTATTATATTACAATTAGTAAAATAAATTAACCATATTGTTAAATTTATAATTGTTAAAAACTTATTGTCAATTATTTTTATTTAATATTTAATTTTATGTTAGTTAATTTACAGTCTAATGTACTGTTTATGGTAATTTGAAAATATTATTTAAATATAATTTACTGAACTAATATTACAATATTAATTACAATACATAAATTGTAAATTGATACTATTTAGTAGCATTTTTACATATATATATATATATATATATATATATATATGAGCGAAATATTGAATAAATTTTGTTTATATATTCACAGAGAGAGAGAGAGAGAGAGAGAGAGAGAGAGAGAGAGAGAGAGACAGACAGACAGACAGACAGAGGCATACGCATACGCACATAAGCACACGCAAATGTTACTACTTAAAATCAATTTAATTACTTTTATATTTATATTTTTAATATTTAGATATTTATATTTTTAAGCTAAAAATAATAATAAATATTAGTAATATCATTATTATTTTATTCAAAACGTCTAATTCGAATTTCTATGAAAGATCAAAAAAAATTTTTTTTGATAAATTTAGTTTTTTCTAAATAAAATATTTTTTCCGTTCTTAATTTTTATTTTAAATACTATTTTCATTATAACTCTATAAATTAATAATAAAATTAAATCGATTACTTATGTTTGCACATGATAATTGAATTCTATGAAATAATTTAAAAGTAAAACGAATAACCATACGAATGGATAAAGATAGTCATTTTTTCAAATGTATTCTATTGTTTTTTTTTTTTTTTTTTTTTGAAACTAATGATTTTGTAAAATTACTATTATTTACTTTGAAAAATCAGAAAATCATAAAAGTTCCGTAAACTCATCATGAAACCTTCATGATTATGAAACTATGAGATCCAATTCTTTTCATTTGCATTTTCATAAAATTTTAGTATTTTACATATTTAGAATGTCTGCTTCTAATGAAGAAATCGTAGGATAAAATTATTGATTTAAGAATAACTGATAAATTATCAAGTTTATAATAATTATATAACACTTTACCCCGTACAGTAACATTGAAATATTAAATATGATATAATTATTGAAGATTCTTAAAATAATTATAGTTTCGAATCTTTACGATTTTATCAAGATTATAAAGATTTACGGGAAAAAACGTTCGCATTGCAAGATACACAACTTTATATTAATTCGTACAATTAATTAAGCGTCATATAGCGGTTTATTCTCCATTAAACTATTTGTCATACGACTCGATTGAATCAGGTCTTAAGTGACTTTTATAATCATTTGTCAGACATCGCAGTTGCGTGTGAATAGAATAACTGTCGTGTGATATGACGTACTGATATTGATGATGATTAGAGCATATGCCGACAAGCGAGGATTTTACTTCAATTATTCTAATACTAACTGTTCGTGGATATATATTTGTGTATCAATGTATTGATTTCACAACCGTAACACGATCCACATGGTTCATGAAATTGCAAGCACATAACTTTCGTGGTTGTAAAGAAATCCACGTCTGCCCGTCTTCTCCACTAGTACATTGTCGTAAGTAATACATAAATCTAAAAGAGACTGAGATTGCTAGTAAATTGATAAAGTTCCTCAATATTAAAGCAAATTCATCAATTGTTACACGTTCATTGAAGACGGATATCAAACAACAATGTCGGTCTACTTGTAAACGCGTGAAATAACAGAGAGCGACGAGGATGCGAAGAGGGTAAGGATATTTGGCTGCCAGACAACCGAAAGCAGCAGCTCTCTGCTATGCGATTCGCTCGACACGCGTTCCTCGAGTGATTCCTTACTCCCCCACACTCGATCGCCGAGAGTTGCATGCAATGGACGACGTGAGCGCCTTGCTCGGGTGACACACCCAAAGGAGGAGTAGGAGAAGGAGATAGCGGGTAGTACTCACCGATCGAGACTGGAGTGGCGGTGTCCCGCGGTTCTCGTGCGACTTGTATGCGGCAGGTCCCGGGCCGTGGCCACGAGCCCCGTTCAGGGAGCCGTAACCGGGCGTGCTTCCGGTCCCGATCAGGCTAGTATCCGGCGATACCGTGTTCTGCAGGTCCGCTAGCAGTGCATCTGAAAAATCAAGCGATTGTGGTATTGTTAATCGACGGATAGGATTTTGCCTACTATATAGATAGATAGATTGATCGATTGAGGGAGAGAGAGAGAGAGAGAGAGAGAGAGAGAGAGAGAGAGAAAACTCCTTCTTCCTCGAGGTCCTACCATTTGGAGGTCAATACTTCATTGGATGGACATTAGTTAGCTAAGGTATTTGCACCCACTAAGGTTCGGTAAGCCCACGCTTAATGGACTAATTAACATTTATAATTATTTGTAGCGTCATCGATATTTGTTGGCCTTGGTCGCGAGCGAGTCTTGTGTGATTCCAAAGTACTTTGGGTATTGAATTATAATTTAAAATAATAGGTCGATTATAATGTATACGGGAAAGAGATCGTAGCCAGAAATCTTCCATTAATCTAAACATCCATTTAAACCTATTTTAAATTCTGAAAAGCAAATATCGTTTTATGACATTTCCTATTATAAGTTTCATTATTAATAGAATATTTTTAAAAATAAAACGAACCACTACTACCACTAAATTAACCCTTATTTAAAAATTCCATCGGTGTTTGGACTTGCTTATGTATTTGAATCATGACGTTTCACATAATACCAATGATTTTGAAAGAATTTGCCGTATGAGGGAAAAATAATTATTTTACTTCTCTACAATAAGGATATTAAAGAAGAAGAGAATAACTCTACAAAAAAAAAAAAAAAAAAAAAAACTTTTAATTAACCTATTTAAATATTAATGAAACGTAAACTATTGGAAATATAACAATGGAATGTTACAACTATGTTACAATACCAAAAAAACAACGGGCAAATATTTGATCATTGGGGAAATACGCTATTTGAACATCAATGAGCATTACGCGGTGACCTCTTCGCGATAAATAGACCACCGCTCAAATCAAATTCTAATGTCATGTGCCGTAAGACCAAGGAACTTGACAATCAACTCCCGATTTATTTGATATTTTCCTACACTACATATGCGGATATATTATAAATAACATTCAAACCCATATTTAATTGAACGTACGTACTCTTTCTCTCTCTCTCTCTCTCTCAATCGCTCCCTACCCCCCTCTCTCACTCTCTCGCTCTCTTTCTCCCTAGATATATATGTATATAAATTAAATAATTACAAGACATCTTTATGTAAAATCTCAGAATCTTCATTATGAAAATTAATTACATTGTATACTTTAATAAATAAATATATTATGAAAATTTTCTGTCGTAGACTTGCAAAAAGTATAATTTTATATTTGATCATTTAACTATTTAGAAGAACGCATTGAACAAAAGAATAATTAAAATTATAAAATTATAAAATTTTAAAATTTTAAACTTCAGAATATTCATAATGTGTTTAAAATTTTATTTACTGCAATATATGCGATTGTGTGTGCGTGTGTATATTTATTTATTTTTCAGAAAGGAAGACTCAAATTAATGTCAATTTTCTTTTTACGTGTTTACTTTGTTTTAGAAAAAATTTTGAAATTCTACTAATTTTCGAGAAATATTAGTGAAAACCCATTTAATAGCGATTTATTAATCTGTATATCAAAATAAATTATATTCATAAGATGAATAAAAATCGGTCAACATTTACAAAAAATATCAATCTTAATTTAATCTCTAATGACAGCAATAATATTAAGAACAATTTATATAAGTTTAAATTTATTATTTATGTAACTGACTACGAGTTTTATCCATTTACTGAAAATAAATCTTTTCTTTACATGGACTTAAATTTTATTATTAAACCTCACCAATTGATACATAATGACTCTTAACGAATTATTATAATTTATGTTAAAATATTTAATTATTATAAAATTTTATAATAAAATAAATCAAACAAGCATATTCATATATAATGTAATTCATAGAAAAATTGTAATAAACAATATTTGTACGTTATATGTATATTATTTATTGTACTTTATTTCTGGTTAGAATTTTAATTTTGTGCGTATCACATTTAAATGAATTATAGACATTTTTTTTTCATGCAAATAAAATATTTTTCTAAGTTAAAAATTGAAAGATGATACTTTTCTCGATACTAAAGTATTTAAATTTCATAACATTACATGTTATAATATTTGTTAATTATTATAATGATTTTAACATTATTATTATTATTATTATTATTATTATTATTATTTTTTTTTTTTTTTTTTATTATTATATCAAGTGTTGGAAAATTATAAGAATTAACAACTTAAGCCAACGTTTAAATCTAATGTTCGTTCCATTTAAACATTTATATAAAAACATCGTCTTTTGTAAAGTGTAATTTGATTAAACGGAGACTTATGCAATACTTAAAATTATTAATAGCAATAAATTCGAGCCAAAATGTAAGGAATATGACATGAAAATCTCATTAATTTCATTATCAATTGAGATCATGAATAACAAAATTAAATTTTAATTATTTAGAAATTACTGATTTAAGCGTATTGCAACTTTCTAAGATTTAAATAATTAATACTGTATTTTCGTTGATACTATAGAAAAGAAAATGTTTTAATGTATCATTATATCCTACATTGTACGTGTATATGATGTCTAATGAATATAAAATATTAAATAAATACTGTAAATCAAAAGAATTAATATAATTAAAACTAAATAAACATTGTTCAGCTTATTACTTCAGTACTATTATCATTGTTAATACAATTTTAATTCCTGCTATAATAAATTAGTAAACAATATTATTGGCATAAGTCTTAAACGATTTTTCTAAAAATTAAAAACTTAATAAAATTTTTCTACGCATAAACATGTATTGATATTTTTCCAACTATTGATATAATGTTGCGAGATCTGTCATTTGCGGAGATCCTTGACAATTTCAACAATTTCAAGCAATATATATATATATATATATATATATATGCTTATTTTTAAATTATATCGGTTTTTAAATGTATTAAACATACACATCGATACGCACAGTTATAGATAGTATCATATTCATAAATAGATATACTTTGTATCCGTTATAAAATTTTATTTTTAATCGTTCGAAACAAACCAAAGGAAGTAATTAGAATGATTAAACTAAATTGTTGAGAATACCTTTTTAATAAATAATTTAATAAATATAAAATGATTAAAAAAATTATTCGTATTAGTATTTTATTAAATTGTATTAGGGATGAGGATAATTAACTTTAGAAAGGTATTGTATTTGAGGGATCGAAATATTTTTAAACTTAGTGAGATAAATAAAAATATTTCATACTTTTCATTCATTAATTTCGTGAATTTGCTTCTGAAAACTGCACTTCTTAAATATAAATTGTTTTAATAAGGCTGAGTAAATCGATATTCAAGAAAACTATTTGTTGACCTTGCAAATCTAGGTGCTCGGTCATATTTTATTGCATATTTCTATTATCAAAGAATTAATCTTCTCAAAATCAAGGATTATTTACATACATATGTATATTTATTTATTTATTTATTTATTTACACTTAATTACTTAACTTGAAATTTTTGCTAAATATTCAGTAACTGTGTTTACAAATTTTTCGTTATAGGAAAACAAGTTCTAGAAGGAATAAAATTGTAATCTTATATAATATCTTTCAATGTCACGGTTATTTATGAAAAACTAAAATTTAAAAATAAAAAATATAAATAATAATTCGCTTGTCAAATTTGGTATGAAATGGTAGAATTAATCGATATAAAGAAATTTTACAATTATCCAAAAATCTTTGTAAATATTATTGGACTTGTATAATAATAATATGGATGATTATTCTGTTACAATTGCAGCAGTTAAGTCTCGAGTAGTCTGAATCGGTGAGAAGTACTTTTATAATTTCTACTTTCTTAATTCATTAGAATAGTTGAGCTAATTTACAATTTAGAACATACAAACATCAAATTACTCTATCGTAGTTTCTCAAACATTAAATGGTTCTTTTAACGAGTGACAGAGCAACGACAATACAAATCATCAATTTAACAATTCAAAATACTATCGCTAATAAGTCAGCAATAACAACTATAACGCCAATGGCTATTGTTATTATTATAGGAGTACGATGAATAATTCATCGCAGGTATTCTCGGTAATAAAATAAGTTATAATACGAGTAGCAAGTAGAGCAAACGATGGACGCGGTCGATATTAATAAAACAGAATAAGCCAAATCAATGTATAAATTGTATAAGACATATTGTGAAATTATAGAGAGTCGATCATTCATGAATGAGATGACCGCCCGGCATTAAATAAAGTTGTCAAGTGCATTAAATATTTTGCAAGATTCATAATGCTCGAGTTTCGGACGGGTGTTTATGTAATGATGGCCGTGCATGCACGCACGCGCGCACGCACACGACATTTTAATCTATGACGCGTTAAAGTTCGCCTCGTAATAGTCTTCGCCGTCACGCATCATCTGTCATTATCGCAATTGCCGAGTGGATGCACAAGTCGGGCAAAAACGGGTTGATGGCTTGTGCTGGCCTACGTAGCTACGCTCCTCCTAATTACTTTGTCACTAGCCTTAACGGCTCCTAATTTTATCGAACACAATCGCAAATCGGGCTATTCGCGACGCTTAACCAGACGAATTTACGAAATTCTCGGCTGCCACTCTATACAGACACTTCCGGTACGAGCTGCTGTCGAACGACAATGCCGTTGAGAAGTTTATTTTCATCTCGTAGCTGTGTAATATTTAGTTATGTTCGGACTGCGGACCTTGAAATTCAACATGCCGCGGTAAAGATAGGAGCGAACGGTGTTGAAATGCAGGGAAAATGCTTGAGCTACGAAGCGCAAAGGCAATGGCTAATTTGATAATTAAATTGTCTTGAACAACATGCGTGACTACATTGCAAGTTAAATAATTATTTTGGATATTGTCCGAGGGCTGCTGCAGACACTAAATATCCAACATTTAAGTTTTCACGTTAACTGTCATACGCTCACGTACGTACGACAATTTTCACTTATACACAAATACGCGTACGCTTCCCAATTCGTCGAATGCCAAGTATTTCGTAATATTATCGAATACACTTGGCTGCGCATAAACCAATTGCAATTATTCCAAATTCTCCAAACAAAGTAGGAGAAAATTCGTAAGCACACCGAGGGTCGCCGTGTATTG